GAACGTTGGATGCGCTCTTTTCAGTGAAGACATTTAAACGATGGTGTGATAAGCTTTTTCACGCACATAAGCCAAAAGTCATCCGCCTACTTGGGTTCTGGAGTCTGATTTTGGATTATTTAAGCGGCTGAAGTCAACAACCAACAGATATACAGTCCAGCGGGGTCTTGTGATGTGAGGTGGTAGCCAACAGTGTATTAGCAACCCTACGCAATCCGCCTGAGCATGATGATGCCGCGGAATCCTGGTCATACAAACATTGTGGTTTGTAATTTATGAGCCCTCGACTAGGAAGGCATTCTTGAATTATGTGCTCATGTTGGGAGAAAAAAGTTCCACCGAGCCTATAACAACCATTCACAGAAGACACCACGCCCTGCCACAAGCTAGCACCTTTCAATCGGACTTTCTTTGGTTGAAATTCTTGAGCGGCCTGTCCGCTTAGTGTTCATTACCCCACGGAAAGACCGGGTACTTTACATGAGATCTTGAGGCTTTGTACACCCAACCAAATTCGTTTCACTGAAACTTAGTGACAATGTCACCAGGGCCCACCAAACTTCACTTTCTCAAGTATGTATATTAGTATATTCTTCGATGAACATTTAGTGCAATTTATCGAAAACACTGTCACCGCTTGGATAAATACGGTGAGAGACTACCAGAGCTTCGTGAAAAGCCTGGCTAACGTAGTTTTGGTTTACCTCTATTCTCGACTCAAAATGAATATAAATACCTGAAACTGGGCTGGAGGTGGAAAGTTCTGCTCAGGTTTTCTTCATCAGAACAAGAATCATCACGCGAGGCTTACAGGTTGGTACAGAATAAATCATCCTTAACGATACAAGAAGAATTGGGAATATCATAATGCCCTCACAATTCTGGGAGAAACCTTTAAGTATTTGTCGAAGTGTTTGAACAGCCCAGGCCAGTCAGATAACATTCCTGGTCTCGGTATGAGCGGCGGTGCTTTGCCGTTTAGATTCTCATTGATGATATTGAGAGTTGTAAAGTTTGTAAGGCAGCTATCAAGCGCCAGCTGAAAAAACAAGGCTCACCTATAAACGCCAACAAAAAGCCTGCCTGATCGAAAAGGGTTAACTTTGCAATGGATGTCTTTATAATGAAGCACAATTTCGTTGTGAGGACAAGCTAGCTAGGCGATATCTTAACGCATCAGGATTTATGAGCTCACATAATTGGTTGGAACGTTTTGTTTGGACAGAAACATTCATCATACCTTGCCGCGGTGCAAGTAAACATCACTACTTTGGCACCTGCAAAATCAATAGAAGGTTTATTTGCCAGATGCAGTAGTTTGCGAACCGAATTCACTTTACCTGCCGAATCTGATGAGCACAGGTCGCTCCATGTTTCGTTTGGAACGATGCTTTAGAGATCGCAGCACGCAATCTTATTCACAGAAGCCACCACGTCCTGCCACAAGCTAGCACCTTCCAATCGGACTTTCTCTGGTTGAAATTCATGATCGTCCTGTCCGCTTAGTGTTCATTACCCCACGGAAAGACCGGGTACTTTACATGAGATCTTGAGGCTTTGTACACCCAACCAAATTCGTTTCACTGAAACTTAGTGACAATGTCACCAGGGCCCACCAAACTTCACTTTCTCAAGTATGTATATTAGTATATTCTTCGATGAACATTTAGTGCAATTTATCGAAAACACTGTCACCGCTTGGATAAATACGGTGAGAGACTACCAGAGCTTCGTGAAAAGCCTGGCTAACGTAGTTTTGGTTTACCTCTATTCTCGACTCAAAATGAATATAAATACCTGAAACTGGGCTGGAGGTGGAAAGTTCTGCTCAGGTTTTCTTCATCAGAACAAGAATCATCACGCGAGGCTTACAGGTTGGTACAGAATAAATCATCCTTAACGATACAAGAAGAATTGGGAATATCATAATGCCCTCACAATTCTGGGAGAAACCTTTAAGTGTTTGCCGACGTGTTTGAACAGCCCAGGCAAGTCAAATAACATTCCTGGTCTCGGTATGAGCGGCAGTGCTTTGCCATTTAGATTCTCATTGACGGTATTGAGAGTTGTAAAGTTTGTGATTTGTCGAAGTGTTTGAACAGCCCAGGCCAGTCAGATAACATTCCTGGTCTCGGTATGAGCGGCGGTGCTTTGCCGTTTAGATTCTCATTGATGGTATTGAGAGTTGTAAAGTTTGTAAGGCAGCTATCAAGCGCCAGCTGAAAAAACAAGGCTCACCTATAAACGCCAACAAAAAGCCTGCCTGATCGAAAAGGGTTAACTTTGCAATGGATGTCTTTATAATGAAGCACAATTTCGTTGTGAGGACAAGCTAGCTAGGCGATATCTTAACGCATCAGGATTTATGAGCTCACATAATTGGTTGGAACGTTTTGTTTGGACAGAAACATTCATCATACCTTGCCGCGGTGCAAGTAAACATCACTACTTTGGCACCTGCAAAATCAATAGAAGGTTTATTTGCCAGATGCAGTAGTTTGCGAACCGAATTCACTTTACCTGCCGAATCTGATGAGCACAGGTCGCTCCATGTTTCGTTTGGAACGATGCTTTAGAGATCGCAGCACGCAATCTTGGTGGACAATTTACCATAAGGTTGTGTAAAAAAGTTTGGCAGCCTACGACCGGTTTGGCTTTCTTGAGACTCTTCACGTAGGCATGTCAGGCTTACTGTTGTGATAGAACTGTACGTTCTACGCACCTGGTGAGCTATATGTATTCTCGAGTAAAGTTGTTGTCAGTGAAAGTTCCGGCCAAAATCCAGCTAAATACACTGGTCGTGAGTAAGTTCCATCGAGAGGCCACACTGTGATAGTTGGAAAATTCTCCCTAGCAAAACTTGGGTCAGTCACCGATACAGCACTTTCCGTTGCTTTTCAGCCTAATCCCTCGTTAAAACTAACTGAGTGCAGTTCGTGAATTGCTTACAATTCGGGTTCAAGATAATGCATGGTGGACATAACGCGGAAACTGGGTTTAACTACAGAGCACCAAATATGTCAAGGGCCAAGAAAGAGTTACGTCCGGGAATTAAAAAGTCTTTTCAAATGGTCAATGGATATGCTGCTAGCCAAAAATCTCCCAATCAAAAACCAACATTTATTCAGCGAAGTTTGCTCCCGCTCCATCAACCTTAATGGGGCCAAAAGGTGGGCACACCACATGAACATTTTTATCCCCATGAATATATATAACTTGCTTCATCGACAGTGCTTATTTGAACAGACCACAACGGATATTTTAATCGCTTCGAATCAATTAGGATATAAAGCTGTTCCTTGCTGTTTTCACGGCTATCTTCGATGAGGACGCGATGATCGCGCCGCGTAGAATTTCACCTCCGGTGGCCTCAACATCGCAAGTAATGTTGAGATAGTGACGTAAAACAAGTATTTCTGAAGCTT